AAAAAATTCTTTGAAATTCAAGCAAAAATAGTCATTCAAAAACTCATGAATCTAGAAAATCGTAGTTTCTGACCTAAATCGACAGGCCGCGACCTCTAAATGGCCTTTAAAAAATCTATAAAAATAGGCAATAATATTTCTCATAAAAACGAATCAAATTAGGGGGTTGGGTCTTTAAATTTTCAAAAAAAGCATTTTCGATGGTAAACCTAATGTATGTACTATATAGACTTTCTTCTGTTCGGCAGCAGTCAATGACCTAATGTATGTACTATATAGACTTTCTTCTGATCGGCAGCAGTCAATGAATGAATTAAATAGAATTATAATCTGATGACATGATAAGATTAGAAGCTTCATGGCTCTTTGGAATCTACCTTATGGGCAGTAGCGCCGGCGTTTCCAGACGCGCCGGCGTCGCCGCCGCCGCCGATTATTTTTGAAGTTGACCACGCCGCCGCCGAAAAGCCTGTCGGCGTAAACCTCTAATATGTATGTGTGAGTTTCATTTCCTGTGGTGTTGTCGAATGCTCAAAGCATGTTGGCCTTATTTCACCTAGCCTCTATAGTAAGTTTGCTGTGGCGTGGTTTGTGACCCCTCAGTGTTTTGTTTGAATGTAAAACTTGGTGCATTTTTCTGCAGTAAAATAAAACAAAGCACAAAGCGCAATTTAAAAGCAAGGCCCTTCTATTTGCGGCAGGGGAACCAAATTGAAAGAAATACATACATATTTGTTTATTTTGAAAAAAAAAGATTGGGTATCAATTGTTTACTAAACTATTTTAAATATACATAAATTATCAGCAGCCTTTATTAATTATACCAACTCACAAAGCCAGTTGATAAAATTCATCGAAAGAAAAGCTTTAATTTATTGAGAATATATTAATGCTTTAAGATACCAATATTAATTATTAAATGCGATTGTGTAGGTCGTCTTCATATCCGATGCGGGAAAAATGTAGGCAATTTTCAAAATGCATTCAGAACAATTAGCTTAACTCCTTGCTACTCAAACCCTTACAAAACGAATTTACCTTCACAACAGGGATAGGTACCTACTTCAAGGTCTACTATGTCAAATTCAATATGTATTTCAATAAGTGGAAAATCCTTTTATTACTGTAATACATAGACATCGTGTCCTTTTCTATGAACGCTGGTTGTCGACAAACTTCTAGAAAAGCTAAAAGAAATGAATTTACAGGGCAGTTCTGGTTAAGGTAGTTGCAAATTTTTTGCAAGGCTATTGAAAGACAGTAGACAAGATAGTTTACACGATTTGGTTAATTGTGGCACAAAAGTCTTGCAAGAAAAGCTTCCTTGCAAACTTTCATGGTGAAAAGCTCTTTTGACAGAAAGCATTTGAGCAGGTTCTAGACCGGTGATAGGCACCGCCCTGCCCGCGGACAAAGCTCTTTTAAGCTTTCTATACATTTTGTATAGTCACGTGCAAAGTAAAGGCTCCCTCTGTCCATCCCTGTTCTAGACCCGTGATGCTCAAAACAGCGTTTGCGGGCGAAACTCTTTAAACGTCTCTATTGATTTTTTATGAGCTCACATAGAGTAAATAAAACTTTCTCGGAGCACTACTGTTGCAGATGTACATATATAATTTCGCTCGCACTGCTCTAACAATCGCAATAGCCGGGTGAGCAAATCACTGGCGTGCCATTCGAGAAATACGAAACTCGAATTCTCGAACGGCGAAATGTTTTTCTAATATTTTCTTTTCATTTTTTAATTTAATTTAGGTTTTAGAAACTTATTTAATGTATTTTTTTCATTCATTTTTTTCCTTAGTTAGTGGTTCCTTAAAAATAATTTTTTGTTTTCATTTAATTTTTGGAAACTTCTATACATAGTATAAAGTAAAGTCCAGATTCGTTGTACGCGGTAATCTCGAAAACTACTGAACGGATTTTGACGAGATTATCTCTAATATACTCTGTATCGACAAGCGTCGTTTTTTACATAGAATTTTAATAAGGTTGCCAACTGTTTGAAAATTATAAAATCGTTCGCTGGATTACAAAAGGTGAGGTGTCAATTGAAGGGGATGGGCCTTTAAAAAAGCACTAATGTTTTTATTTTGAATAGGGTTGCCACCTGTTAATAAAATGACTATATTCAATCATAATAAGCGTTGGCAGCAGTTCTGTACCGTCACTGTCAAAAGATTTAAAGAAATGAGGTGTCAAAGGAAAATGTTTAACCTTCCAATTTGCAGTAAGGTTTTATTTTTCGAAGAGGGTTGCAACCTGTGCGAAAAATTAAAAAATGTGGGCCGTTCGTTAGATTACAAGAAATGAGGTGTCAAAGAAAGGGGCTTGGCCTCCAGATGCGCGATTTATATTATTTTTTAGTAGGGTTGCAACCTGTTTAGTTGCCAATCGCATTTTATTTAATATCTACACATTCACCGCGTGGCGAAGCCTCGAGCATACAAGGTCGGCTAGTACTTTGTATTTCATATTCTGCTTAAATAAATAAAATATTCTCTTTAATTCACTTATTTTTTTTTGTTTTTTAATTTTAATTTTCTCTAATTTATAGATTTTGTTCTTTTAAAAACAATATTTTTGTAATTCCATTTAATTTTTTAGAAATTGCTTTCACTTACTTCTTGCTTATTTATTTTTTTTGTGGGAAATTATCTTTTTTAGTTTCATTTAACTATTTTTTTTTATTAACTTTCTTTTCATTTTTAGTCTATATTGTTTTAAAAAGAAAACATTTTTTTTTTGCTTATTTAACTTAGGTTTTAGAAAAGTTATTGCTAAAAGACAGACATTATAACGCTAAGACCTTCTCGATAGCAGATCTTTTATTTAATTTTCTTTTAATTTTTAAATTTTATTTTAAAAGGAAAAATATTTTTTTAATTTCAATTTAAATTTTATTTTATTTTTGCTTTTTTATTTATGTATTGTTTTACTTTTTAATTTTATTTTCCTTTAATTTATAGATTTTGTTGTTTCAAAAATTATATTTTTAATTTCATTCAATTTTTTAGAAACTTGTTTTACTTATTTCTTGCCTTTTTAATTGTTTTTGTGAGAAGTATTTGTTTAATTTCATATAATTTTTGAAAATTATTTTTTAATTAACTTTCTTTTAATTCTTAGTTTATATATTGTTTGAAAAAGAAAAAACAATATATATTCAAATTAATTTTTAGAAAACTTATTGCTAAAAGACAAACAGAATAACGCCAAGACCTCCCCGTTAGCAGATCTTTTAATTATTCGTTCGAATGAGAGTAAAGAGCTCTTAAGACAGTTGCCAGAATTAAGAATTGTCTTTCGAAAGGCAAAAGTCTGTGGTAAGTCGAAAGAGAGTTGCCTTAATTGGCTTGTAAAGGGTTGTTTGCAGCTCTCGAGAAAATTGAAAATATTTTAGAAAATCGGGTCTAGGAAATGGAAAACTTCTTCTATCGAAATATTGTAAATCAGTTTACAGCTCTCAAAGAAATAATGAAAAATGTTTCTTAGAATTTTTCTTGCGAGAATCTCTAACATATCGAGGGCTTATATTCAATACGACCTTTCTGCAGTTTTCGAAAAAAACTACTTTTTCATGTTAGAAACCATCTAAGACTTAACTGTCATCACTGATTGCAATTTTAGCTTAGAAATTCATTAGGTAATTCTTCTGAAAAACGATATATGTACAAGATCAGCATTAACATCATCGATGACAGTTAAGTCTAAGGAATCCTATTTTGGTAAAAACTGCAGATAGGACATATTGAGTATATGTAAGCCCCCGGCATGCAGGTACAAAAAGTGTATGCATGTATGTATAAGTCCCCTATGTATATAAGTATGCAAGTATGTTCAACTTACCCTAACTCTAGCTTCGGTCAAATTTGTCCACATAGCAATCTCTTCGCGTGTCGACATATCCGGATAGCGATTGCGGCTAAATGTGTGCTCCAGCTCCTGCAGTTGTTGCGATGTGAAATGTGTACGTTGGCGGCGTTGACGCTTGTTTTTCTTATCGTTTTTCGGCTCATCTGTTGTGGTTGTCATCGGTTCGTCATGACCGGAATTTGATATGTTTTCAGTTTTGATTGTGGTCTCATTGACGGAACGATTACCTGTAGATAAAGCAATAACAAGAGGAAGCAAATTATTAGAAAAAAAGAATTGGAAAAAACACATGTTAGTAAATAAGAGAAAGCAAATAAACAAGTTGTATGAGAAAAGAAAATCATTGGGATGGTATAAATGCATCGGTACTTATGGACACACAAAGTTGCGCTTGCGGAACACTCGACTGCACAAACACGCAAATACACACGCTCACTCTCAACTCAGGTACATACATACATACATACACACATATGAAATAATTTGTTTACTTAAAATTGTACAAATTGTTATTAGTTTAAGTGTACAAATCGATTACATGTGTTTTTCTCGAACAGCAATAATGTAGAGCAATGCAAAGTACATGTTTTCACTGCGATAGTAATTTGTACTATGTATGCAAGTGTATGCACACAGATACATATGTAGTTTCCCGAGCCACTCGCCTGCACGTTGATGAGACGCTTGCTTGTCAAACAAAACTCTATAATAACAACTAAGTACATACATAGTAAGCAAACAGTAACAACCGCAACAACAATTACCAGCAACTAAATAATAAGGTAAATCATAAATCGTTGTAATGACAACGCTAATAGCTGTATGTCTCCGTCCTTGATTTTGGTGTTGTTTTTACAAGACTGTAACTGCATATTATCGGCGCCTTCCGCGTCGTGGCGAGGTGAGAAGAAATTAAATCGATTTATAGAAAAAATCAGCGCTGTTGACGTTGGCTTTGGCGACAGCAGTTATCGTCATACTTTATTTACATTCATATGAGTTCAGGGTGTCCTATGAAGAGTTAATGGGTTTTCTGCAGGAACGCGGAAGGGGGGAGTTTAATTGCAGAAAGTACCAATCCGAAAGATATACCCAACCGACAACAGCACTGATAAGATGTTCATGTATATGTGTATGCAGATATAACAGTAATTTAAAAATTGACTCTAACCGAATCTAAGAAAGTTCACCTTCCCGGTGTTAATAGGTGGCTCCAAACTGAACATCGGAACAGGTAGACGGAGTGACCTAGGCTACCTAAGCTGAGATCTATATACCAGGCCCGGTTTAATGAACCCCCACCCCCCTGTGGAGGTAAATATGTATACAAATTTTCCATCGTTTAGTTTAAGATGATAATGGTAAAAAATAGTTTAAGATCTCAAATATTTAAGATATCTTTTCAGAGATAGTAGTCGAGAGATCTAGTTTTAATTCAAGCCAGGAAGGTTTTAACAACATTTGTTTCTTTGCTAGAGCTTCTAAAATAACGCAAAAACCGCGATTTTTTCACACTTTCACCTCGTTTCTCTCAAGATCTGGATCTGATGGAAACTTCATACTTACAGATTCGTAGTCAACACAAAAAAAAACTCTATCAAAAGCAGCTTTAACATTTGCCGTACCAAATTTTGTTTATATTTTTGTTGAGCTGTGTTAAACATGATAAAATGAGCAAAAATTCCATTTTCCGTTTTTTTGTACAGAAACGTATCTTTATGTGGTCAATAACACACTTCGCTCCCCTATTTAGTTATAGTGTTGCTAAAAAATTCAATGAATATCATCATGCATGCAGTAGACTGCTCCTTATTTTGAAACTTTGTTACAAGACTCCCCTCAGAAAGGTTCATTCGGTCATAAAATTTTCTTATGTTCTTAATTCATGTTGAATTAAATTTTTTGAAAAGGTGGAAACCCTCCTACAATTGGTTTAGAAATACAACCTTTTCAAAATCATCTTGATGGATTCCCATATTGTAATAATTCTATTACATTAATTTAAATTAATTTTTTAACAGGTGGAAAAACTTTTAATGTTCTAACCTATATATAAACCCTGTTCTTGCCAAGACCAAACCCTATGTTATGCGCCTTTTCACAATCGAACCACGACAACATACCCTACAAGACAGCTGAGTATCATATGAGTACTCATATTATCATTATCCCTAATCACAAAAGTGCTTATCAAAGTCCTCATTTTCGTTCAGGCCATGGGAAAAAATTTAGTACTTTCCCCTCAAGGTTGTCATCAGAAAGTCCTCAGTACTAATAGTCAAACTACTCATTTATGCCGTACTACAAAAACAAAAGTGTAAATGTGTGAGAATTTTTGCCTAAAGTGATCAGCAATGTCTTGTAGGGTAAAGTCTGTGAGATGATAAGGACATTTAAAGTCCTGAAGTAGTCAAAGACTTGAGCAGCCGATTTTACTTCCATCTAGTTGTAAAGAGTGCATATAACAGAGACTGAAATATGTATAATACTCCGGGCGTAGATGTGTTGAGCTTTGTTTGTAGGCCTCTTAACCCTTTGATGTCCCCTCTATTTTATTTTGTTTGACTCTTTAAGAAAATGGTAACCTGAGGATTTGCCTTTACATTTCGTTTAAGACATATCGCAAACGATCTTCAAAAGTGACACAACGCAAAATTACACGTTCGTCAGAAAATGAGAAAAACTATTTTTTAGCACATGCTAATTATATGGGCAAGGAAAACTTTACCTTAGGGGTTTTCAACAAATTGTTACAAAAATTTGCTCCAACTTTTGCTGAAAGGTTAATAAAAGCTCTATGTACATTTTTAGTGTATAATGTCAAACATGCCAAATTTAGAGTTGTGTCACTTTTGAAGATCGTGTGCGATATATGTAATACATATAAAGCTCCTTAAATATTGTCAAAATTATTCACATACATAAATAAAATTTTCATTAAAATCAGTCAGGAATATACACTACATTCTAATAATAAAATAACTTCTTCGAGTTTCAGTTTTTCGAAGCCCCCGTGCAATTAGCTAATCGGAAATAATATGAAAACAATAATTTTCAAAATCTTAAACTTTTTGAATTCTTTTTGCCCAGGAACCACAGTGCGTCGCAGTCGAGTTGTTAGAAATGGAGGAAAGCCAGGATCGAATGACTCTGCACGTTTAGAGTAATTGCGACAAAAATAAAAAACTATAACTCCAAGTACGATGTTTGTGAACAAATAATTGAAACTAAGTTCAGAAAATTGATAAAACAAATAAAAGTTGCTATCGCATATCTCCAACCCCTTCAAATGAGTTCAGCAAAAAAAAGATAAACGAATATCAAACGTTGCCGCTACCTAAATCACCACCCGCTCGAACCAGCTCCACACAAATAAGTATTCAACAAATATACGATCGATCATTCGCTTCTCCACGGTGGCGTTGGGTGCTGTCTCGGCTCCACACGTTATACTTCTAGTACATAGAATATGTACCGCAACAACAAATTCACAGTAATCAACTAAACTAAATGCGCTTAACAACAACAACAACAATAGAAAATAGCAAATAACCAATAACTAAATAAATTAATGTACCTAAATGAAATAAATATTACCAGTCCAGCCGGTCATACTAATAACATAAATATGTACATATTTAGTTTGTATGTTGGAAATCAAAGTCAAAATCAAAGGCATTTTTGCCGACAAAGAATTTTGATTTTTTGGTAATGGTAAGTACATAAGTATTAATGCGACCTGGCTACTGTGCTTTAATATGTTGCATGAAATTGTTATAAATTATAAATTTTATCTCGAAATATTTTTGGCGGTGATAAGCAAATGCAAACAAACCAATACAAGTACGCCGTTACATTTATCTGTATAGAAAAAAAGGTCGAAAACCTATTCATGCACGATTTGTATGTATGTATGTACGGACATTTGTGTATGAAGCTTTTACTGGCATTTTATTTAGTTTTAATGTGATTACTTGCTTTTCTATTCATAAGGTTGCATACATACATATATACATATGTAGGTATATGTATATGTATGTATTTATGTATGGATATAGTATATTTTATTATTGCAGTTGCTGTATATTGTGTGGCTTAACTCTTATTATTCGTTAAATAAATGAGTGTTGACTGTTTGGTCGGTTTATTTTGGTAGCAATACGTGATAACGAAATTTTACACTTCAGCGAGCGGTTTGCAAAAATTTGCTGATAGCCGATTGCCGTTGGTATTTTGAGTTTGGTGAATAAGCGATTTGCCGACGGATATCTGAAATTCATGAAAACACTCAGAAAAAAGTCTGCTAAATATATTTCTCTCAACACATAGTTTGGTAACTATCACCAAATTAAGTAACTACATATATTATAGGGACATTCCAAATTGACGGGTGCGACATTTTAACTGGTTTTTGCTAAAACTTTAAGGCATTTCTCTTTAACCATTAATACAACGAGTCTCAAAATGTCAACACTTGAAGTCAGACATCAGATTATTACGAAACTAATAAAGTATAAAATTTAATTATACAATTTACAAAGAAAATTGACATTTTGCAGGAGTGACGGGCGGGACAACGATGGCACACGCCTCTCTGACTTGACATACTATAAATATTTCTTTTTAGCGCCTTTCTCACATGGAGCTGGTAGAATTTCAGAATTTTAAGATCCATTTCATGCTTTGATGGCATTATTATAATTAAAA